ATTAATAAATATATAAAAGTCACATATCTATGCAATTTGGTCACAATTCAAAAATTTTAAGGTCACAATTAAAAAAAAATTATAAGTCACAGTTCGTCATCGGTCACAAATTAAAAATTTAAAATCACAATTTGTTCATTGGACACAAATCACAAAATTTATAAGTCACAATTTATTTTATGGTCACAAACTATCAAATTATAGGTCACATATTACTTTTATCGGTTACAAATTAATAAATTTGTAGGTCACACAATATTTATTAGTCACAATTTATTCTTTATTGGTCACATACCAACCAATTTATTGGTTACAAGTCAACAAATCATTTGTGACCACCACCACCACCACCACCACCAACACAACACCATCGCCATCTCCGCCGCCAACACCACCACCATAGAAACACACCGTCGCCGCCAATAATTACCACCACCCCCAATGAAAATGACCTCACCATCACCACCAGAAAATGACCTCATCACCACCACCAGAAAACGACCTCACCACCCCTCCCCAGCACCACTATCACTACCCCAAAACCGTCGCCGCCTTCACACGCACCGCACGCACACACCAAAACCACCATCGCCACACGCGCGCAATGCACACACCCAACCGTACGATTGTCCATCTAGCGGTCCACCACCTCGTCCCATACCAGATCACGGTGCACACCCATCCAACCATCGCACCATAACCACACCCACATCAACACAGCATCAGCACACCATCACGGCTCATTTTGCTCCGGCGAGGCTTTGGCTCACGCTTTTCCTTCCCCATCATATCACGGAAACTAACAACATGGGTTTTCTTCAGGATCGCGAAGTTGAACAAATCATAAACCGCGTCAGCAATGTTGAGGACGCCAAGGAAGCTACCGGAAGGGCGACAAATCTGTACAGCAGTGAAGGCAGGGGCTCCGGTGAGTGTCTCAACGGCACAAATGCAGGTACTGAGAAGAAACCAGACAGTGCCGATGAGGAAGTCCCTAAGTGGGTAGTGGCTGGCGGGGATTGGGAGAGGGGAGAGAAAATGGGTGGCAGGAGAGAGAGATGGGAGAGAAAATAAAAGAATTAGGGTTTGAAATTGTATATGATTAATTTAAATGGAAATTAATTTAAAATTATTAATTAAAATCTTATTTATGTATTATTAAAGTTGATTTTGGATTTATGAAAATGACATTTTAAAAACCTGTGAGGATGTAATTTCCTCAATTCCAATTGTACGCTCTTTTTTTACATGATTGTGACATTGTGTGTATTGACAAGTATGATTGGATAAAAAAATTGTCGAAAATTTAAACTGTTCAACAGTGTATTGCTATGTGGCACAATGTACAAAAATGTACACAAAAATTAATCTCATTTTTTGCCCACTCTCTTTCTTTCTTTTCCACGTCATTAATTTGTACACAAAAATGTACAAATAACATTATTTTTTCACCATTTAGGTAGTTGAAGAAGCCGCAAAGATGTTAGCAAATGAGTCGGGCAGATTTTGACCAATTTTCATATTAAACAATTTAGAACCGTTTGAGAAAAACTCAAACCTAATTCAAACAATTTAAAACGATTTAATTAAAAAAGCTCAAACACTAAATTTAGTTCCAACTCACGATTAAACTGTTCGATTTGATTTCAAATTGTTATTAAAATTTTAAAAATCCAAAGCAATCTATTATTTTTTGGGTTAAAATCATATAATTAACAGGTTTATATAAATTTGAATTAACGATTTTAGGTCAGGATTTCTTAAAATCGTGTCAAAGCTAAAACTAAAATCGTAGACGAAGAACTAGTTTCTGAAACAAACTATTAACTCTGGTCTTATTCTTCTCGCGTGGGCCTTCGCAGACCTTTCCTTAACAAAGTCCACCCATCACAACATCAAATTCAACCTTCAAATACCCCCAAATCCCATAAAATATATCATCAGAAATTGAAATCTAAAGATCCCCTGTTCAAAAATCACGTCCAAATTCTTGATTTACCCTCCGATTTATCAAAAATCCGGCAAAAATCACCCTTTTATTGGAAATTCGTATGCATATTTTATTTATGATTCGAAAGAATGTATAGCAATTTCAAGGAGCAAGCAATCGANTTATTTATGATTCGAAAGAATGTATAGCAATTTCAAGGAGCAAGCAATCGAATACGTGCGACAAGCGGTGGCGGAAGACAATGCCGGGAACTACACGAAGGCCTTTCCTTTGTATATGAACGCCTTGGAGTATTTCAAGACCCACTTGAAGTACGAAAAGAACCCAAAAATTAAGGAGGCTATTACTCAGAAGTTCACGGAGTATTTACGCCGGGCTGAGGAGATCCGGGCTGTGCTCGATGAAGGCGGGTCTGGTCCTTCTGCTAATGGGGACGCGGCTGTGGCCACGCGACCCAAGACCAAGCCCAAAGACGGGGGAGGAAATGATGGGGAGGATGGGGACAAGGAGAAGCTGAGGGCTGGGCTGAATTCTGCTATCATTAGAGAGAAGCCGAATGTTAAGTGGAACGATGTTGCGGGTTTGGAGAGCGCAAAGCAGGCGTTGCAGGAGGCTGTGATTTTGCCCGTGAAATTCCCGCAGTTTTTCACTGGTAATTTGTGCTTTCCTCTCAATTTGGTTACTGATTTTTGATATATAGCTAGAGGCATTGGAGTTTATTATGTTATGTGTAATTTCCTTTTTACTTGGAATAGTTTGAAGAATTAGTAGCATTTTTCATATAATTTACTTGGTGAAATATCAATAGTATTCATCATTATCGCATAAGAGTTGTAGCACATAGATGTAGTAGAAGGCATAATTTTAATCTGAGAGTAGTATGTATGCTCAGGTTCATTTCTTTATGGTGATGTTGATTGTTAATGATATAAGTCAAAAAATCCAACTTTACGTTGCTCAGGCTGCAGCCTGCAATATTGCTGAACTGCAGTAATGGCTTATCATGCTACTTTTATATGTAATTTAAATTACTTTACTTACCAAAGAAAGTGAATCCAAATCACAGTGTACTGCAAGGTTCTCTTTGCATATCTTTGTTCGCATTATTGTACTTTCCATATGAACATCAGAGACCACATAATTCATGGTTCCACCTATATGTATCAATAGGATTTCTTGGTCAAAACAAGGCTTTCTATTTTTTTATTTATTTATAGAGAAGCAGCTGTTTCATATTTTTGATATGATTTATTTGGTGATCCATCTGGAGTGCTATAATAATTGGATACTAAGCCCAATATGGTTCATTTGGAGTTCTTTGAGTGAAACACCCTAATTATGAAATATAAGGAGCTAGACACAGCATGAGATATTTCCGTAGATGATAGATTCTGTTATGGACAGGGTAACATATACTTTCTTGCCATTATGGATTCTTAATAGGCATATTATAGATGCATTCTGAAGATTAATTGAGGTGACCACGATCTATTAGGACTCCTTTATCTTACTATGGTCACTAGGTCTACACATGCTTCCTGTGATGAGTCAAGTAGCAAAATGACTTGGCCCTTGTTTGAGCTCATTTTAGAATAGTGATTTTTTGGAGCATGTGTGGTTCAAAAGTTAGGAAATTTTTTGAGTAATATCCAAATGAGGGGAAGTATGGTTGAGATCTTGGGATAGTAGCATCTTATTGCTGTTTAAAAAGAGCCATTCATGATAAGAAATCCAATTTGGAGTAATATCCAAATGGATGGTGCAAAAATAGGACATATGCATCAACAGGTGGTGAAGGGTTATGACAGTGTTGTAGGATTTAAGTTGTACTTGAATTAACCCAATGCCTAATTGCATCCAAGAGTTGCACTCTTATTCGTGTATTTTGCAGTTTTTTTGTACTAAAAATCTATCTTCGTATTTTATGTGTAATGTGCTGACGTCCACAAATTTTCTGTAATTCTTACCTTCTATATATTTTTGTCATTTCTCTAATAAATAGTAGACCTTTTTATCATGTATATGAAAACAAAAGGTTTCAGATTAAGGTAAAAGTAGTTGGTTTCCCACCACTTTTCGCTTATTTCTCCGAAAACTTTATGTTGCAAAATCATTTGATTTTTTGTTCACATAATTTATGTATGAGTGCCTTGGTATTAAACATTTTTTGAAAGAAGAAAAGCCCATTTTACATCCTGTCTGGGTTAATTTGTTTAGTGTAAAACTACAACATAGTTGGAGAAAAAGTGTTGTGTTGTACAGCACAGTCCTTATTTTGATTTATAATATAGATTGTTATCTCTTGTGATATTAGGAAAGAGGCGCCCATGGAGAGCTTTTCTTTTATATGGTCCACCTGGAACAGGAAAGTCGTACCTAGCAAAGGCTGTTGCTACTGAAGCTGATTCAACATTTTTCAGGTAACTTAGTGGTACTAATGCGGCTCTTGCATTTATCTTATATTACTTTCCAAGGCGTTGGACAATTGGTGAGGACTTCAAAAGTTTTCTGCTGAGCAGTCAATCTTTAAAGAAGTCTCAGCTTGAGACTCTTTCCTCATAACTTGTGCTTGGGACTGGACGCATGGTTGAAGCACTATGTTTGTTAGATGAATAATTCTTCTCTGCTTAATGATATGATCTAGCCAAAGTGAGGTAATGGTGGTTTGGATGCTAACTACTTGTAGAATAGCCAAATGGATGTTTGTAATTATTTAACTCCCAAGCCTATGATGCACGGACGCACCAGCAAGGCTGGAGTTTTAGTGTTTGAGTTGTAATGAACTCATGTCCACATGTTGGACATGTCCTACATGTGGGGTGGTATGTACTATTGACATGATACTGAGTTGTCCGACATTGCACAACTAATTTTTCAATATAAGGCAAACATAGATATTAGGTCAAAATAAAACCAGGGCAGATTTATTAAAATGCAAAATGACCTTGTAAAATGGAAAGAATCGAAGGAAAACCTGAATATCTCGATTATTGCTCTAGGTAATGTTCGAGGTTGTTAGATTGACAATTAATATATCTGAGAGCAGGGTGGGGAGATAGGAACAGATATGGGGAAGAGGGAGTTGAGAGGAGACGGTGAGACGAGGAAGAATCTGTTTCTGCATCTTTGCTTCATTTTTGCCAGCTTTCTTATTGCTCTCTTCTGTGAGGAACTATTAAATGTTGAGTTTGTTCTTCAGTTGTCTGAATTTTTATTACTTTACCTTCCCTGTTTTCCGTATCTCTAACTCGATATCCTGCATGATAGGAGGAGAAACTATTATGATTTATTATTACTTTATTAAAGTGAAACAGTATATAAGTTGGAGAACCTTTTTGGCATTTCATTGCGTCCTATTTTTTCCCTGCAATCTTTTGGCTCCTATTATTTGGCAACAATCCACGATGCTTGAGGACAGTTTCTTGGATTCACAGTAAAAGAAATGCTTAATGGGTGCTTCTCTCTCTCTCTCTCCCCTCCTTCACCCCCACCCTGTCCCTCTAATTTCATGTATACAGCAACAAAATATGCCCTTTCTCACTAAATTTGATGTTGGCTACATGAATCCTTCTTCACCATGTCATCATGTTTGTTGCTAGATTGACAGCAATTAGATCTTTAACAACTACCACAAGCCAAGTTAATTTTGGTCTTACCCTCTTCAGGCTTCATCTGTCGCAATCGTGTCACTCTTATGAAAGGGGCTCACTTTAGGTCAATGCAAAATGTTATTATCTTAGTCTTCCTTCCTTTAGTTTATCCTCGATTGGTGCCACCTCCATTTGTTAGCGTAAATTCTCATTTCATGCATAAAATTGAAATTTGAAGCATAAATACTGTTACTTGACTGAACGCTAGATGATGCATGTTTCCGTTTTTTCATTTGCTATTTCTATTTCAGATGTTTCAATTATCAAGAACTTAGGTCATAAAGTTGGCAAGTGCCAACTGCTGTTCTCTTGCAGTGTTTCTTCTTCAGACCTAGTTTCGAAGTGGATGGGTGAAAGTGAAAAGCTAGTTTCAAATCTTTTCCAAATGGCCCGTGAAAGTGCCCCCTCTATTATATTTGTTGATGAAATAGATTCCCTATGTGGCCAGCGTGGTGAAGGTAATGAGAGTGAAGCTTCCAGACGAATCAAAACAGAATTGCTTGTTCAAATGCAGGTAGTATTCAAATTTGTCGTCTTTGATCTGTCTGACAAAGACACTATTTTTAACCTCTCTTTTCAAATCGTCTTGGTGGTCAGTTTTGTGATTGCTTTTATTTGAGAGCTTCCGTGACCGTACTCCACCAAAACTTATGTTCTTAGAGCATCTCCAATAGACTCTTCTATTTTTAAAGAGCATATTATATCATTTGGAGAGCATCTATAAATTTAGAGATTTAAAATTTTGAAGTATTCTAACAAACTCTTTATATTTAACACTTAATTTTACTACTACAAAAAAATATTTATTATTTTTGTTTATCTTTTATTTTAACTAACATTTCTTTAGATTATTTTATTGTTTTCCTATATTGAAAATTGAAACACTTTGAATACATTTAATTATAGAGAGTGAGTTTGGCTCTCCAAATTTAGAGAGTCAAACACATTCTCTAAATTAAAATGTTAATTTAAAGAATCTCTCAGAGCATGATTTTAAATGTTGATTATTTAAAATAGAGAGCATCTCATGTTTAAAGAAACTATTAGAGATGCTCTTATAGTATTAATTAGATCTAGAGTTCTAAAGTCAACCTTTTGGCTTTTTCGGTTATCAAGTCTCTGTCACCTGGCTCACCTATAAGAATTGTTCATTCAATCGGTTGATTTGGTTGGTTATATCCTACTGGTGACTCTTATTATACCTCAAGCTTCCCATTTGCCAGGTGCTAATCCGTTTAACTCTTTGGAGATAGTTAACATGTATACTCATGGTACTGCAACTGACCAAGAGGAAAGATTGTCTTTTCAAAAGGAAAGGAAGAATTATGAAACTGAGACTTGAGATTATATTTATTTTCTCTTTCCCATTTTTTCTTGCTAGTTATTATTGATAGTCTGTGATACTACATGTCATGCTTAATATCATTATTTTAATCTCTATTATTTTCTGATGAACTGAACCTGACCCGATCTAATTTAAATGTTTAGGGGGTAGGACACAATGATGATAAAGTTCTTGTTCTTGCAGCCACAAATACTCCTTATGCTCTGGATCAGGTAACCACCAATTCAATTTATCCTCTGTCTGGACTGCAAATATTATTGTCTAAAATTTACGATTTCCTATAGGCTATCCGGAGACGATTTGACAAGCGAATATACATCCCTCTACCAGATTTGAAGGCACGACAACACATGTTCAAGGTATGAGATTTGTTTTTCTTCTTTTGCAACAAGATTAATGTACATAGTATAATATACTCTCTCTCTTGTGGCTTGACAAACTCTGCAGGTGCATTTGGGAGATACCCCTCACAACTTGACCGAAAGTGATTTCGAAGTCCTGGCTCGCAAAACAGAAGGGTTTTCTGGTTCTGATATTTCTGTTTGTGTAAGTGTGTGCCTGATTCATTGCTTGCACATATAATTCTCGGTATCTTGTACAAATAGGCACTACTTTCTTATCACTTATTTGAAGGTGTTTTTTCTTGGCTTTATAGGTTAAGGATGTGCTATTTGAGCCTGTACGTAAAACACAAGATGCCATGTTCTTCATCAAGACTTCAAATGGTACGTGGATGCCGTGTGGACCAAAACAACCTGGTGCTGTCCAGATAAGTATGCAGGAGCTTGCTGCACAAGGACTTGCTTCTAAGGTATGGAATGGGGTGTACTTAATGACTTATTCTCATGATTTGACCGTGGAAAACATTGTATTGTGGAATCAAAGAGTGAAAAGAACAGTAAAACACACTGGTAATTGATTCATGACTAAAAGTTAAGATGTTACCTCTTTGATTCTATGATACTTGAAAATACGTGGTTCATAGAAAACACTTTCCTATACCTAAAATATGGACAACAGATGTTTTTGTAATGCTTATCGTCATTGCAATGTTGACTGCATGTCATCTTGTCAAGGATACATGCTTTGTAGACCTAATGGCCACTGACATGGTAGTTGAAATTCACCTTGGTGCATGATGAATAAATATTTTAATAGCTTCGATATGCAATGAAATTTGTCCATTACTATTACTTAATCTTGGTGCTTATTAATTCTTCTGCAGATCATTCCACCTCCAATATCAAGAACAGATTTTGATAAGGTGCTAGCAAGACAGAAGCCAACAGTAAGCAAAGCTGACCTTGATGTGCACGAGAGATTCACAAAGGAGTTCGGAGAGGAAGGTTGAGGAATTTGAGGTGCATATACTGCTTCTATTCACCGTTAACGACAGCAAACATAAAATAACGTTTTATACATAAGCTTCTTTAAATGAGAATCAGAACATGACCTTCCTTTTCGACCATATCGTGCACGAAATGAGTCGATACTTCAGAAATTGCATGTATTTTTATTAGACAAAGAATGATGAGATTGTCGCGCGGATAGTTGTTAATATGGTGTATGCATGTGCAATGCTAATTGCTGTTGAGTTGATTTGATATGATATTGTCCCAACATAATCCTCTTAAACCTTTCACCTCATTGGAATATATCGCAACATATTTTCTAGATCAGTATTTTACCAACCTTAAAATACTTGGCATACGAGTTTGTTCGGTTGGAGAAGTTAAGAAACATCTCCTTTCACATTGCTCACAAAAGACGATTTATTCAGAACAAATTTCTGCTGGTTGTTTATGCAAGGAAATTTGAACCTATTGTTATTTTTACTAGTTTATGGCATGTGCGTTGCATGTATTGCATCAAAGTTAAGCGTATAGAAAACGTCAATAATTTGATATCCAATCTAATGTGAATTTTAGCGATAGATGGAGGAAGTAAATTGAAAAGAATTGTACGATAATAACGGCACAGTATAGAAAATAAAAATTCACCAAATGAATTCTACTGATATTCTAATAGGTTGGAAAAACCTATACGGATTCTCATTATTACTCGACACTACTTTGCTATTGCAGCAACTGTTCGGTACATTTTCGATTAATCAATAACATAGCCATCGATTAATCAATAACATAGCCAATCACTGGAAGACACTATCAAGCAAAATAGTAACATGAACGTTTTACAGAAAACAACGGTATGAAATATTTTAATCAACAGCAACAAAATTTCAAAATAACAGTTGTCAATGCCTGAGCAAGAAGTTGAACAACACACACAGATGTAACAACAGAAGCTTCCAAACCCCAAACTCATCGATAACAAAAAGGACTTCAAGGAACACGAGAATTCCATTTCAGGAAGGAAACAAGATTAAAAAAAATAATTCTGCAACAAGGTTTGAAATCAAATTTAACATTGTATTTCCAACATTGCTAACATTGTTGTGAGGTGTCCTTTGTAACCCTAGGCGCCTTTCCTTAATTTTTCTTGAATCTTCCTCGCAGTCTGGTCTTTGCTCTTTGATTCGTTTGCCAAATTTCTAAGAACCTTTTATGATGTCACATTGAAGTTTAGTGCTTCATTGAGTGTTACTTCCTATATTTACTTCAATGAAGTTTGTAAAATTGAGCAAATGAAGATTATTTGCTACGCAGTACAGCAAATAGTATGNAGCAAGATTATTTTCTTAGTAGCAGCAAATAGCATGAATATTAAGTTTGACAAGTATTGGGGGCAATGTTGATAAAATGAACAAGATTTTGATTGTGGCAATTGTGCTTGATCCTAGATATAAGTTGGAGTTTGTTGTACATTGTATTGATATCTTGTATGATTGTGTTAAGATTGAGGCCACAAAAAATGAGGTCATGAAAGTATTGTATGCTTTGTATGACCAATACAAGGGATGGCATTGTTCAAAAAATGGAGCTAGTGGAAGTGTTGGCGCTGAATCTAATGATGAAGTCACTTTCTTGGAGGGTGCAATGATGATGACGATTGTGATGATTGTAATTTTGATTTTGGGTACAAGAAAATGAAAACTAACAAAATAGATTTTTCTGGAAAAGATGAGGTACAATGATATCTAATGGAACCTACCGAAGATGTTACTGATGGAAATTTTGACATTTTATATTGGTGGAAGATCAATAAATCAAGATTTGAATTTTTATTTGAGCTTGCAAGGGATGTTCTTGCCATTTTTGTATCTACAGTTGCTTCTGGGTTAGCATTTAGTACTGGAGGGGCGCATGCTTGATTCATTTTGGAGTTCTTTAACTCCTAAAACAATTGAAATCTTGATTTGCACACAAAACTGGCCAAGTTAAGAATCTAGACTTTTGAAAGTTTCCCAAGATAAATTTTGCATTGAAGAAACAGAGTTCTATGATGGCGTTGAGATATGTAATAAATATTGAACAATTTTTAGTTTATTTGTGTTTGTTAACTGTGTTTTTTCAATTACTCTTATAGAGTTTTTTAGTATGACATGTCAAACGATGATTAAATCAAATAGTTGGTAAGTATTGCAATATTTAAAAATATTTTAATTTTTATAACTTTTAATTTATATTTCATTTTTTTTATGTAGATTTCTTGAAATAAAGGAATTATTGACATAGATCGCCGATATTTTAGTATTAGTATCTACTTTTTGATAATTGTATACATTAGTGAATTAATCTTATTGGACAACTTGTTATTTAGATGTTTTTAAATTGGACTACGTTAATTTGTAAAAGCTACGAATGAACATGCCATTAATTGTATTTATGTAATGTTGTAAATGTTAAAAAATTTAATTATGGTACGGAACATAACAGAATCGAACCGAACCTGAACGCTAAGAGTTTCATAATTATATTTGGACCTAATGATTCTATTTATTAAATACTCGAAAATTTTGGTTCGATTCGGTTCTGAAAAGAACCAAACCGGACCATGTCTAGCCCTTCGATTCGGTTCTAAAGAGAACTGAATCGGACCATGTCTAGACTTAATCTAAACCTTTCAACATTAATAATAAAATAAATACATTTAAGAAATTGAAAAATGATAGATTTTATTTTCATGGCCAGCAAAACATGATTCTTATAAGCAAAAAAAGTACTTGCAATAAAACTTTCAGGATGTTTCTTTTTTGAGAATGTTGTATTTGATTCATTTACTAATATATTCTTATTTTTTATTACTTCCAACAATAATTTACAACTGGTTGTTGATAATTAAATAAGGTAAACTATGAAAGTTTTTGATAAAAAATGTTTTTTCAATAACATTAAATAAGATTTTTTATTCCATGTGAAAAACAAAATCAGCCTATATAAATGAGATTGAGTGAGTATATTTTTCAATATATTCCTCGCATGATGAAGAAGAGAATATTGAATATATGTGTAGTGGAAACGTAACAAAATCCTATATTAAGAGTCAAGACTGATAACTACATAGGGTTTATCTTCAGTAGTTTTTATTGAACTAGTTGAAATATTCTCAAATCTTAATATAAGAAACATTCGTTCTGGGTGGCTTAGATGATATTGAGTACAATCAAGCATAATGGGAAAAAAAAAATCTTTCAATTTAATACTTTTCCAGATCAAATTCTTCAAATGGATCTGTTCATTTTACAATGTCAAAAACAAATTTTAGAGAGGTAACTATTAGAATGAATTGCCAATGAATGGAATATTTTTGATGACCAACCATATACGATAAAAATGCATACGAACAGGTCAAAAGTAATAAACCACCAATCAAGTTCAGTTACCGATTCCTTTAAAATGTGGTTGTGATCATCTAAAATACAATCGTTTTCAGAAGTTTCAGCAACAGGAAATTTATCCAAACTCCACTTCAGCAAATTACCTAAGCAAAAAGTTGCAAATCTTCCTTGCAGAAACAAAATAAACATACTAATTGTTGTTCCAATCTAATTTGAGAACTGCTTAATTCAAATCAGTTGAAGTCAGTTCGGGACTCTGCTGGTATCGTAAAACGTGGAAACCTTTAGCAAAGGTTTATTGGCGTCAATGAGCTCAAAGACGCAAGTATCACCAACCTTGAGGTTCTTGTCCTTTATAAATGTCTCCAAACCTTGGTTCAAACCAAACACCTTATCTTTTCTTAGACAGACACAGACCAGCCAATTCTTACCATCGCAATCACAAAGTTCAACGCTCCTTAGAGAACTTGGCAGATATGTAAGAAATGCGGGTGGCATGTACTTCAGAAACCGGAAAAATTGCACCATTTCAGGTCAGGGAGAAATGAAGGCCATAAACTTAGTAAACTCAAATTGTATCATAAAACTTGATAGCTTACCAACATCTTCCCTGACAGATTGTACGGTTTCAACACGACAGTAAATGAAGGATTCTTGGGCAAAAATTTTCCTGCAGCGTGTATCATGAGAGGAAATCATATCTAGAAGCAATCTTACTGATCAAAATAGATATCTGTAAAGAACTTACTTGAAATAGTTTTCTGATTGGCTTCAGTACATGGAATTGCCTCTCTAACATTCTTGATTATGGGATTCTTAGGTTTGCTCTCATCGAGGTTAAGTGATTTATCCAAGACTCGTTTAGTAGATTGATATGGATTCGACTTGTCATGAGATGACATGACTTTGCTTCGTGTTAGATAATGACACCGGAATTTTAACGTCTCGGCTGAATTTATCTTACCTCGTTTGACTCTATGGGCAAATTCAGTTGAAGAAAAAAAATCATGGATGTTCTGATGATCACTAGTTGCATTACCCATGTATTCATTTGGAGCACCATTTCTCGAGAGGCAAGCCACTGGTCTGCCATGAAAGGAAGATAGTATTGTAGCAGAGTCATCATCACTGTGCTCTTCCATTTTAGGGGGAGTGAATGGTTTACCAGTGAAGGGATCTAAACTATTAGGCCGAGGATAGTGAACCTCAGTGGCTGTCAAGTCAAATACATGCACATTAAAATTTGAATTCCCATTGTATTTGAAGAGTAAAAAGTAGCCATAACTGACAGAATGGTCCTCAACAAACTTTTCCCAGCCGTCATGAAACCAAAGAGACTCTTCCACCTTTTCCAATCTCACACACCAAAGGGCACCAATAGAATCAGCAAGTCTAACAACATTGAAGAGTTGATGGCCATATCTTTTAACAAATTTGTTGGGGATCTTCTGCACAAAAATACTTAATAATTTATATATACAAGGAAAAAAAAAAGAAGCAGAAATTTCATCCAAACAAACCCTAAACTTTATCTCATATATTTGAGTTATTTCAGTAAGCAAACTAACCCAATAGGCGAATAAGAAGGAAAATTACCAGTTTGTAAAGGGAAGTGGTTGAGGGCAAAATAACTTTGAAGAATCTTCTTGCTTCTAAATCCATTTATGTTGCTTTATGTTTCACATTCACATTCACATTCACATTCACATTCACATTCATAGTATTTCAATTCCAGATGAAGAGTCGCGCCTTAATTATGCCTTGCAGATCATACCAATCGTTAGTTTTATTGCTATTTTCAAGAAAATTATTGCTATTGGGAAATTGCTGCCTTCATTATTTACTGTTTTGAGTGCCAAAGTTCATCTATTACATCCGTTGTTAGCGACGATTTGACTTAGTGAACTTTTTGTTGTTAAAAATAAATAAATAAATTGTAGCATGAAAAAATATTACAAAGTAACGAGATATTATTCTTATTTGAATGTGAAAAATACCGGATGTCGCACTGGATACCACTTAACAATTCACATATTACTAATTTAACGACTTTTAAGTTATCGAATGATAGTTATTTATCCGTTTTTAGTTTTGACCATACATGCGAAATTAATTAATCAAAAGAAATAAGTCACTTTTAATTATTTCTAAATGATTAAGTATACAAGTCCAATTATCCTATGTTTGAATACTGTAGTAATAAGGAAAGTAATAATAAACACATACCGATATGATGACGGATAAACCACAATTGGGTAAAAACTTCGGGACCAATCCAATTACTTCTACTATAGACAATATGTAGTGAGTTACAGTCAGATGCTATCTAGCCAACTCCACTAGACTTCCCGATCTATTTTTTGCTAACTCAAAGGTCTGCTCCAAGATCTTCTACAATTGTTTCTTCCCGGTGGAATTCCAAGAACCTGCTCCAAGGCCTTATGCTCTTCCTGCGCTTGTAGTCCAACATCTCTTAACTTCCAGCAGCTTTTGAAATTCAACTGAGAGAGTACATTCCTATGATCAATAGGAAGTAGGTGTGTTTCGGATTCAATGTGTTTGATGTTTTTTCCCAAATACAAGGTTGTATAAACTCAAGAGTGAAAGGATAAATTCAATGTATGAATAGGCTCTTGAATATGTTATAGAGAAGATACACAATGAACAATCACACAATTTTCGTGCATAGACTTGGATATTTATAGGAGATGGTAATTAGTTTGAATGGGTTGGAAAAAAATATTTCAAAATAGCAAATTAGGATTTTCAGATTGATCGTCGCTCGAACGATAAGCTGACGATAGGCAAGCGATACACTGTCGCTCAAGCAAGAGTTCGGTGACAGGCGAGCAATATGCATTCTGTTTTGTTGCTCGAGCGTTACTGGGCGAGAAGCTAGCGAAAATGCGGCGCCGTATTTCTCCTATTTTCATGCTCGAACCCTAGACCTCATAACCCAATTTATACAAATTGCACCAGATGTCCTTGACTTTTACAACATGTTACAAATTAGTCCTTCATCTACAAAATTGCAAACACTAAAAACCTAACAAACACCCAATTTGGCATTCTGTGACAAAACTATACAATAAGTCAAGGAAAACTAAATGCAAAATCTAAACTATCCAAGCTTCATCAAATTGGTGTCTCTTGCATTCCTTGTTAAACTTGTTTCCTGAAATTCACAACTCAAATATCCAGTGTAAAAGCACACGATATAGGAAATAATGAAATCATTAAACACATGATGCCTACACTAGCTAGAATGAGACGTAACACTAATGTTAATCGAAACACCAACAAAAATATTAGCATTACACAAACATAAAAAACTCAAAACATTTAGGTAGATATGATATGATATGGAATGCAATGCAATCAACATATCTCCTCCTAAATCAAAATTCAAAAATTTTACTTCACTCTCCCCTCTCCCTCTTTTTACTAAATTTTCTTCTCTTTTTTCTCACAAATGACGAAGGGATTAAAAAAAACTAACATATAATTACTCAAAAATGCAGTTGTTAGTATCCATAAGTATAATCAATGTACAGTAAACATTTTCACATACTCAGTTCAAGTTAAGATGGAGTAAATTATATAAGTGACTACATGTGTGTAAAGTGTCACTGATCCTTTGTAAGCAAGACTCCAATAAGTCACTATTAATTATTTTCTATATGGTTAATCATTCAACTCATATTTTTCTATGTTGAATTACCGCAATTATGAAAGCAATAAATAACACAAAAATTGATCATGAAAAAACCCAACTGGGTAAAAACTCCGGACATTTTGTCAGTCAACAATCCACTATAAACGTTTTATAACTTACTGTCTACCAAACTAAACGACGACACGTTTTATCTGATCTCCTGACTGTAATTCCAACAGCTCTCCTGGATTCTGCGCTTCTGCATCAACTCACAGCTACAGTTTCCAAAGCTTTCATGGATTGCGCTCTCTTGCAGCAACTCCCAACTTTGTGAAATCGTCTATCTCCTGTGGATGCACGAAGAACACCGCGTTCTTCAACGATTGGAACTCCAGTCACCTTCCATTGATCTTCAGAAATTCTAACAGATGTGAAGGAAGCAGCAGTTTGGTATTTGAATTATGAATCCGATGTTTTCACCGCCAAAAGCCAATAATAGGACGAATATTGAAAGCAAAATATATGAAGATGATCTCAAAGGAATGTGTTTCTCTCAATAATCAACCTTGTAAAACTGTTATGTGGCGTTTGGATATATATGTAGGTTAGGAAATGAATGGACCGGACAAAAAGCCTTTAAAAAACGAATTAAAAAATTTCTGGATAGCACTATCGCTCAAGTGAAGGGTGAGCGATAGGTTGTCGCTCGAGCAAAGGCGAGGCGACGGTGGGCGACGCAGTTTCTGTTTCTGACGCTTGACCAAACCTTGGAGATAAGCTGTGATATTCTGGTGCCATTTTTCCTTCTTTTCCATTCTTGAATCCTAAACCTAAAATATCACAACTTTCATTAATTGCACACTACTCCTTGACTTTTTACAACGTATCAACTTTAGTCTTTTTTGTTCACAGACTTGCTAATTACAATACCTTACAGTTCTGACACTTCCATCAAAAAACTTAATTCTAACTCATCCAATACCAGATATCCGACAAGGTGTATTATTACTGGTAACACAACACCTTTGAAAACTTCTTCATATATTGTAAAGAATGCCGATTAGGATACATAAGAAAAGTGAAAACCATATCAAGAATCTAATCCTCATCAGGTTTGGAGTCGACTTCAGAAATAAACAAAAGCTCTCCATCATTGTGAATTGTTTCTCCAACACTGGCTTCACCTGAGTATCTAATTGCTTTCCCTTCTGATTAGGTATAGCCGATTTTGCTTTATTCTGCAATTTATAACAATCTTTAACCATGTGTCACTTCTTACAATAATTATAAATTTTATTTGTGAAGTTAAACATTAGTTTGCCCCTTGGACAACCATCATCAACAATAAGGCCATCTCCATAAGCCTCAGTTCCAATGAGATACTTTGTCTTCTCCTTTGAATATAAATCATCATTAACTTCTTCAATAGTAAGAGTATTACGACTATATAAAATTGTATCTCTAAGCGACATATATGAAGCGAGCAACAAATATAGCAAAATAAAACTCAAATCTTATTCATCATATTTAACTTTCAAAATTTTCAAATCCGCGATGATTTCCAGTAAAACAATTAGGGATCTTCAAGAGATATACTTTATATTATACGATGAGACTAAATGCGTTGTTTCAAGTGCAATTTTTAGTTAGACTCTTTGTCATAAATAATTGCTCCAATCTCAACCATAACGTAGCGATAGACTTTTTCTTCAAAAGGTCCTACAAAATATTATTCAAAAGATGAAGTGAATTTTTGATATGGTCTTTCGATCCCCACATTGTTTCTCCTTCTGATTCCAAGTTGTGGGCAACTTGTTAAATCCCAACAACGCACATCCACATTCTTTTGAGTGAGTATTGCTTGCATCTTGATCTGTCACAAATATCATAATTCATGGTTGCCATCCCAAAATCAAAATCTCCATATGAATAAAACCTAAACAATGAAGAAGATATCGGATTGCCCTAATATTAATTTGTTGTAATAATCGGCGAGATAAAAAAAGATACAATATGAAGTAATTGATCACAAACTCATTAAAAACAAATTGTAGAGGAAAGGAGAATTCACTAAAATATGGAAAAAGAATATAATGGTTTTATGTTTATAATTTGTCTAACTTAATCTCAGATACTATGAAGAGCTAAATATATATAGGAAACACATAGGAGACATCCAAACCCTTGTCTTGGTCTCGGCACCACAGGCCGGCGCCGATCTTGGGGATAATGCCTCAATGATGTTTTTTTTCATCTCTTTGTTCATATCTTGTTCTCTTCAAATTCAACACAAATTGCAACTCTCAATTGAGTTTCTAAATAGAATTTCAACTAGAGTTTGTCTAATAGACTTCTAATAGGATTCTAAAAGTATTCCAACAAAGAATTCTTCTTAAGTCGACTTTAATTAGAATTCTCAATTATTTTTAAATTGAATTCGGGTCACACCATAATTCTAATAATTAAGCAATGTAATATTGTTCATCCCAATAACTTGCCAATCAAAGGAATACACTATCAAGCAAAATAGTAACATGAGCTTTTTACACGGAACAATGGTACAAAATATTTTAATCATCCAT